AGGTGAGGATTAGGACAGGGAGGAGGATGTAGGTTAAAAGACATGTTAAGTTATAACAGTTAGTACAGACACCGCTTTCATCACTGAAACACAATTTCTACGTTCAACACTGACCAACAATCAAACTGCACTTGGGCTACTGAGAATGTCACAGATCGCGGGGGACACTGAGAAATCACGTTAAGCACTGAACATATTTCTAGAAAAAATTCGCGCATACCACGACGAGAGACATTTACTTGAGCTGTAACGGTGACACACTAGGACACTTTTCACGCTACTATGCAGGAACTCCTTATCACGCACTTTCGAACAATACTCAAACAACGAGCCAGGTGTTATGGCTAAATGAGGGAGGGCATGGGTTTACGTTAAGTACACTGTTACCAATAACAAGGGACGAGGAGGGCGTGAGTTAACGTTATAGTACGCTGCCACCAATATAATGAGGCACTCTGATAAGAAGATTACATATAGGTAGAATATTGATAGTATAATAGTATAAAAGAGAGGAAGATTTTGGTAGCGTGGCCATGATAGTTATTTACTCTCTGGACTTACACTTATCGTATCTTATACGTCAATACACATCTATTACGTCTTAAGGGCGACTTCTCAAACACCGCTTCGTCACAACTCTTTATTAATTACGAACATGACATGGACACATTAATAACACCTTCTATTGAAGTTACTAGGACATTATATTTACGTTACTAGGACATCATATTACGTTACTAGACACTGATTCTCGGACACGAACATGAAATGAATACACTTCCCACGTAAGTAACTCATCCCATGGAAAGCTCTGACAAAAACTCACGTGACCTAGGGGAGGCCTAGCAGGTGGTCCTGGGTTGTCTCTATGGGAGACTGCTTAGCTGGGCACCGGTGTGTCGAGGGCAACTCGCTCCCGACCGGAGGCGACCGGAGGCGGCTTGCCTCCGGCCCCTGACTTCTCTCGAGCAGGACTGGGGACGTGGTAGCTGGCCCTTCTTGGTTACAAGACACACTCTCTCTCTGTCTCTCTCTGGGCAGAGGGAGGACTAGGACGTCCTATATATTGGGAGGCGAGCCGTCAGGTTGAGCTGATCGGGGGGGCGGCGAAGGGTCTCCTTACATTTGCCCTCGCTAATGTAGGGTCAGGTCTGGACTTTTTCAGAGACTATAAGTTGTATATTCTGGAGAAGTCATCAGATGGGGCCGTGTGACATGAGAGGCCCTGGTTGATTTGTGGCCCCTTGACTTGGGCTCGAGGGTTACATTTGACCTGGCTAATGTGAGGTCAGGTCTAGACTTCTTCTGCGGTGTAGGTTATTGTGTATATTGGGAGAGAGTCGGCTGGTGCCTTCTTACATGTTTGTTGGGGCCGTGTGACATGGGAGGGGAGCCAGTTGATTTGTAACTCCTTGAGTGGTTGCGAGGGGTACCCTTACATTTGACCCCCCTAATGTCGGGTCAAGTCTGGACTGTTTCTGAGATGTAAGCTGTGGTCTGACAACCCATCACTACATATATATATATATACCGTATATCTCGGCCTATAAGGCGTCGGGGTGCATAAGACGGCCCCCCCCAAATTTCCATTTAAAAAGTAGCTTTTGAGCTCTATTCGCTGTATAAGACCAGTACCCCAAATGTGACACTTACCCACTGACTCAGTAGTCCTTTACCAACCATCCTTGGTTTTTTAAAATAAGGCCAATTCACTTCAAGTAATGTCATCAAATGTTACCCGCTGGTGTAGTGTAAACACTAGTGACGTCACTGAAGCGTCTGCTATTTACCGGTAACTGGAACTAATGTCTGTGTCGAGTAAAATTTTTCCATTTACTTGAAATATATATATATATATATATATATATATATATATATATATATATATATATATATATATATATATATATATATATATATATATATATATATATATATATATATATATATATATATATATATATATATATATATATATATATATATATATACATACATACATATATATATATATACATACATCACTTGACCACCGAAAATCCAAGGCGTACCTAGCTTGTCCTCTAAAGACAGCAAATCAACAATAGAAAATTAGCCCATACCAACCCCCGCCTGAACCACTTCTCCCCACGGAGTATCAACAAGTTCTCTCTTAGAAGTTACAATTTCATTTTGGGAAAGAATAGAACCAGTGTTAACCAAGTGAACATTAGTGAACAGTGCTTGAGTCAGTGAGAACAACTCAACAGTAAAAAGTCGTATTCAAGTTAACCTTCACACGGTAGAGGTCCCAGGTACCCGATACTTGACCCGTGAAAGACCCAACAACCGGCGATGTGTTAATCCGTCTCGATAAAGGAAGGCCTGGGGCCACACTCATATAACACCATCTGCTTGAGGAATTACTACACCGCGTCAAGTCCCTCACCAACACCATCTGTGAGAATTACTACACCACGTGATGCCTCACAACACCATGTGAGAGTTACTACACCACGTCAAGTCCCTCATAACACCATCTGTGAGAATTACTACACCCGTGAGTCCCTCATAACACCATCTGTGAGGAATTACTACGCCATGATGCCCTCATAACACCATCTGTGAGAATTACTACCACGTCAGGTCCTCATAACACCATCTGTGAAATTACTACCACGTGATGCCCTCATAACACCATCTGTGAGGAATTACTACACCACGTCAGAGCCCTCATAACACCATCTGTGAGGAATTACTACACCACGTCAGGCCCCTCATAACACCATCTGTGAGAATTACTACACCACGTCCAGGTCCCTCATAACACACCATCTGTGAGAATTGTACACCACACAGTGCCCCTCATAACACCATCTGTGAGAGTTACTCCTACGTGAGGCCCCTTGTAACACCATCTATGAGGGAACTACTACACCACGTGAGGCCCCTCATAACACCATCTGTGAGGGAATTACTACACGTGAGGCCCCTCATAACACCATCTGTGAGGGAATTACTACACCACATCAGGTCCCTCCTAACATCATCTGGGAGAGAGTTACTACACTACGTGTTTGCTGTTCAACACCTACATTAATCTGAATGTTCACTGTATGTTCCTTTACCTTTCTCTAATGAAGGCTTTTGTTAAACCACCAATGTATGTAATAAGTCATTTATGTCCAATGTATATTTTCAGCCTTCGGGCTGCAGAACCTTTTCAATAAACCGTTAATTATTATTATTATTATTATTATTATTACATACATACAGACAGTACATACATACATACATACATACATACATACATACATACATATATATATATATATATATATATATATATATATATATATATATATATATATATATATATATATATATATATATATATATATATATATATATATATATATATACATATATGTATATATATACAACAAAATATATGTACAAAAAATAAATGTTAAATGAATTATTTATGGTGCATTAGAGTACTGGTCACTTCAGACACAAAGACGGGCTATAAATAGCCTTCTTTATCTCCCCTCCATCTCACCCTGAGCCAGAGGGAAGGGGTGGTGGTAAATAACATTTGTTTGCTTATTTTCCATTTACTTGAAATAGATTTACCGAATTATTTGTTTATTTATTTAAAAGTCATTTACTGAATATTCTATGTAAAAAATAAATTTTAAATTAATTATTTACAGATACCGTAAATATTATGATCAGTAAATATATGGTATTACTGGCCACTTCAGACACAAAGATGGGATAAAAATAGCCCATCTCCCCCTCTTCTTACAGCTGCCAATGGGAAGCGTCTTGGTAATTAAATTTGATGTATATTTTCATTGTCTAATTTATCATGTATCAAAGTAATATTACTAAAAATTGTGTAGGTAGTAGGCAGCTACCAAACAGGTAGATACTACCGCTTGGGAAGATATTGGAAGCATAATGTGTTGTCTAATGGTAGACCCTGCTGCCATATGGCATCACGAAAATTGTGACCAAGTCCCAGGTTCAGCGCTGACCTGACTTTCTGCCACACAATTGCAGTTTGAATTGTTCCTCTAACTTTGACAACACAACATACATACAGTATATTATTTCTCACTTTTGATCTTTTTTTTACTTTTTGTATTTATTTATGGTTAGGTACTTTAAATAAGGCCAATTCACTTCAAGTAATGGCATCAAATGTTACCAGCTGGTGTAGTGTAAACACTAGTGACGTCACTTAAGCGTCTGTATTTAACTGTCAGTAGTTTCAAGAATTAATGCAGTCATTTGCTGAATATTCCTTGTAAAAAAATAAATTTTAAGTATTATTATCAGTAAATATACCGATATGCATTACTGACCATCTCCACGGCTAAAAATAGCCCAATCTCGCGGTCACTTTCCCTTTCTTGTCTCCTCACTGGCAAATGGGGGGGTCGTGGGGAGGGGTGTGTGATGATAGCTGTGTTTATTACAGGGGTATAATTCTCTTTTACGGTATGTTAGACAAGTTTATAATACATTTTTATTATTTTAATATACCGGTAATCTTAATTTGAATCCAGCTTGCCAAACGTAAGTTTCAGTATAAAATAATTAGTGGTAAGACCTTGTGAGTGGCTTACTATGTTTCCATCACCACTCTTGACAAACTAAACCACAATATTTAAGAGGTAAGAATTTTATACTTGGTGGTTTAGACGACCCCCTAACTTTGGGCAGATTTTTTTTATGTTCAAATTCCGTCTTATAAGCCGAGATATACGGTATTAACTCTACATGCTGTATTAATGTGTGTGAATAAGTGGTTGTAATATTTTGTGAGGTTAGAGGGGGTGACTGTGTCTAAGGGCTCGTACCAATTGACCCATTCAGCATGTAAACTATACTCACCACATTAACAATTTTCACTTTAACAACTGTTTTCGTGGTATCAATTAGTCGTTAAAGTGAAGTATGAACTGTATTAACAAAATTCTAATTCTGCATTTCAAATCTTTAACAAACAGGCATATGGAAGTCCCGTGCAGAGTTGATTCCTCTGCGACAGATAGATCGTGTCTTCCACCCAAAATTGGATCTTCAGCCCCAACTCTTAGAGCAAATGAAGGAATGGGAGAAAGCCTTACAGCGATTTACTAAATGGCATACAAAGAGCAGTTTAAACAAGGGGAAGTCCTAGGAATCTTATAAGAGTCTTCATCATGCTTCAAATAATACTTGCAATAATTGTCAACATCCAAAATATTCCTCATCCTTAACAGAAGAAGCTAAATCCAAGTGCAATTCAGATAAGCCTAAAGTTTTTGCTTTGATTGATGAGAGTAGTTTGTCCAGTGACTGCAAGGTATGTGTTTCGTGTGGGGTAGAACTCAGGGATGAACCACGCCAAACAAGATGCAGAAGTGCTTCAGAATTCAAGATAAGTACTTCAAGCTGTAAGAATATTGGAAACACAATCCCCCTCTTGCTTGGTGCTGTGATTTTCCTTTTCTTAAGCTTTGCTCTCACTTACATATTTGGTTTGTTTGATTATTAAGCCTTGTAATTTAGAGAGAATGAAATACAGTATACAGTAGCAGTTATTTGTTGGTTGTAGAATGTACTGTACAGTACTATATCATATGTTGAAAAAAATATTTTTTTAATTTTATTATGTGTGGACTTCCTTTCTTCCCAAGTGCTTGCTCTTAATACAACACTCTTGTGTGACATGTAGATCTAATCATATAGGCTATGTGTTGGATTAGTAGTTCCTAGGAAGGCTCAAAGAATATTGTAGTGGAATTTTAACTAATTAATGCACAGACAACATATACACCTCAACTGCACGATTGCAAATTGCCCCCAATTGTAAGCCACAGCCCACTGGGTTAGTTTTGGACATTTCTTGTGCAAAAAAGATTTGACCTCAATTTTAAGCTGCACCCCAGTATTTCTGTGAGTATACAATAAATGTTTTTTCCTTCCAGTACATGTACTACACCAATTCCCCCATTAATGTCGGTATTGTAGGTTCTTGAAAACCACAGCTTTAAGTGAAAACGATTTTGCCATAAACACAAAGATATAAATAGGGGTTAGTCCCTTGGGTACATTTCTGGTTCAAATTTTCTGAACCTGCCACAAATAAACTTGGAACGTTTGCCTGTATGGAGAGCAACAAACATGGTAAGTTTTGTTGATGTTGATCCTAAATCCACATGTTCAGCACTCTTTCCATATTTTCCATAATGTCACTTCTGTTACTAGTTAAATCTGTAGCAGATAATGGAATAACACTTTTAACACATGATTCGATATTTTCTGCATTTCCACAAATTGTTCTAACCAACAGTTTTAGGCTGCAAACTGACAGCTCTTGTTATGTCTACTGCTGTCCTTCTTGAAATGTCTTCACCACGTCTAATTTAACTTTTAATGTAACACTTTTCCTCTTCTTTCTGTGACCACAATCTGTAGTGGTGCATAATGCATGTTTAGCACTCACTGTTCTAGGGCTCAAATAAATTTACAATTGGATTTTAAGTAAATGGTGGAAGAGCATCAACCAACTACTGAACAATAACAAACAAATATGGCACCCATGCTGGTCGCTTACACAGCCAGCTGTTATCACAGTTAGGCGCTGAGTGCCTTCATGCTGAATTTTTAAAATTGTCGTACATTTATCATTTTAGACATAAGTATTTTCTCCTTTTTTCAACGATGTTATAACAAAACGACGTTAATGGGGGAATTGGTGTACAGGCATCTCCCCGATTATGGAAGGGTTCCGTTCCTGAAATCTTTCCGCAACTCGAAATTCCATAATGTGAAACCATTTTTCCCATTTACTTCCATTATGTAAGTTGAGATGCATTTATAAGGAAATTTTTTGAGGCCCCAAAAATGTAATACAAGCATATATACAGTACAACGTCGATATAACACGAGATACGTTCCAAGAGAAGTAGCTTTAAACCGACTAAATCGAAGTTTTGTTTCAATGGAATAATTTAGTTTGGTACTTGAGAGAAACACAAAATACTAAAAAGACTGAGAGTCTACCCAGATGCCCCTCAGCCCATCTCCTAGAATAAACAAAACATTGTTTTTTGTAGTATTATGTTAAAACAAACACTCATAAATCAACACAGCTAAAATTATGGGACGTGAAATGGTCTGTTTACTAGCGATCAGCTGATGGGAAGAGAGGGGAGGGGGGGGGAGGTGAGGCGATATGTTTGACAGTTGATGCCAAGGTCTAGTGCTTTTTTATTTATCTGTCCTTAAGAGTGGCTTAAGTTTTTCTCTTATAAAATGTCACTAAGCTGACCGGGAAGAATATAATTAACATTGCTGGAATTCTTATAAGATAGTGATTAATTTGAATATAAACATGCTATAGTTTGCATTAGACATACAAATTTTAGTTATAACTAATTTTATTACAAAGGGCTAAATTTTTTATCTCTTGTGTAAAATATATGACGTTTATATTCAAATTATTCGCTGTCTTGCAAGGATTCCAGCAATGCAAATTATATTCTCCTAACTTTAGTCTGTGATATTATATAAGATAAAAACTGTAAGCCTATAACCACCAAGCCCTGGTTGGGGTGGGGGGGTGACAGTGACACGTTTGACAGTTGGGACCGAAGGTCTAGTGAAGTATTTATTTGTTTATTTATGTCCTTTACATTGAGTTTCGGTTTTTTGTTTATAAAATGTCACAGAAGTGACCTGGGTGAATATAATTTACATTGCTGGAATTCTTATAAGATAGTGATTAATTTGAATATAATCATGCTATAGTTTATACAAGACAAAAATTTTAGTAATCATTTAGTACATTATTTTGAGTACATGTACAGTACAGCTATTGCCCTTAGGACTGTCACGTGCCCAGAGAAACATTAGGTGCAAATTTTAAAATATGATGCACCAGATTGACTCGTGCAAAATAGGAAAGATTCGCTTTAAATTAAAACATTGTCCTTAATTGTGGGTGCCGCTTTAAATCAATAATCTTAAATTTAATTGCTTTAAATTCACGTTCTAATGTATGTATGAAATTAGATGGTTTTAATTCATTCATGATGTAACATGAAAATAAATGAACAAAACACTCAAAATTTGCTTCATAGAAACAATGTTGAGTGCTACAGGAGGTGGTGAGGTGAGGTTGTGGAATCAGAGTTAATGGGAGTTACCTCCTTAAAACACTACTGCTCTCACTTGACCTTGATGGTCTTTGTCAACTCATCTTGAACAAGGGTACACGCTAACACAGATGCATAACTGAACACAAACTGGGGAAAGAATTTAAACTGAGCAGCACCATTGGTGTTGTGGCTGCTACCAGTTGGAGAGCTTAGCTACCAGCCAATGGTCATGTAGCTACCACCAGAATCCACACAAAATAAATTTTATAATTTCAGTGAAATTTTTTTTTTTATATTGTGATTTTTTCTTTTGAAAATCTTAATAAATTAACCATAATTCCATAATGGTGAATACAGTCCTGAACACAGACACTTAGAGCACATGCAACTGCCTAGCTTATACTACAGACGGGCAAGGGGTGATCTAATTGAGGTGTATAAACATCTCAAAGGTCACTACTCAATCGAGTGTCCATACCTGGAGGTGGCAGACACCCACCCCACAAGGGGTCACAGCTCAAGGTTGAAGAAGCCACAAGTCCAGAAAACTGGAGGGTGAACTTTTTTGGAGTGAGAGTTATGAATTCTTGGAACAACCTGCCAGAGTTTGTTTTGACGGCACTGAGTGTGATCTGTTTCAAGACCAGACTTCACCAACACTGGAGCAGGTTAAGATACATTCAGCAGCCAGTGCATGTCCAGTACATGCCAACAGTGGGTAACAGAGACGTGACCGATCGCCCAAGTTGATAATGAGTCAATCAATGGCGAAGGGGATAAAAGTACAGGTTGACAATCCCTTATCCGAAATCCTTGGGGCCAGAGGCATTTTGGATTTTGGAATTTTTCGGTTTTCAGAATGGTTAGGTTTTATATATATATATATATATATATATATATATATATATATATATATATATATATATATATATATATATATATATATATATATATATATATATATATATATATATATATATATATATATATACACACACACATACACACTGTAATTTCAAAATTCCGTAGCCTGGAATTCCATAACGTGGGGATGCCTGTACAAGAAATTGAATACCTCTATACAAATCAGTAACATAAAGATTTCAATCATCCTTAAATTATCAGTAAGAAATATTCACTTATGCTATTAACCCCATAAGGGTGCATTCACTAGTTGAAATTCATACCTACAGATGCATTAGGAGAGCCAAAAATTAAAATCATAAAATTAACATTTTACGCTTATGAAATGTTAGAGGTACAGGTATATGTTAGTGCATAGAAAAATAAAAACATTTCATTGTACTTACCACCCATGAGTGTTGGTGGGTCATAGAAGTGAGGGAGTTTGTTTGATAAGTGACTCATCTTGTGGAGGGGGGAGGAGGAAACTGACCATGATACTGTGTATGTTTTATTTCAGTAGACTTTATTTACTATTAACCGCCCTTTTGGATTATCCATCGGCCCCTCCCCCCCATATGTGGGCGGTTAATCGAGGTTTTACTGTACTTTATAAAGTAGCGGTATACAGTATCCCGATCCTACTGTATCTGAAGGATCAACAAGCTATCCTTATGCCTCCATGTTCCAATTACATAAAATTAGGAGAATATTAGACTGATGATAACAGCCTAGAACCGTTCGCTTCTTTGATCTCACTACTATAACATATGTTAGTCGTGTACTGTGCAGAGATATAAACACTGAGCCTTCTAAATATGCCGTACAAATAAAAATCCCAATATTTCAAAGAATAATAATTTTGGTGAAGTTTATTCGACATTCCTCTGTACTTCAACATCACCCTTCCCAAACTTGGCATTCTATTCCAAGCAACACCCTCAGTACAGGGTGTTCTTATATTTTTGGTGAAAAAAGGTGTAGCTTATAATTGTGCAAATACAGTACAGTCAACCCTCACTTTACACGGTCCCAAATTCCGCGTTTCCACGTTTACACGGTGCCCTGCCAGAACCCAGGATGCTCACATTCCGCGGTGGGTGTACCCCTTTACACGGGTAAAGTATAATTTTTTTATTTAGCTCATAAAATTCATACAAATTATCCGGCCAGAATATAATTTACATTGCTGGAATTCTTAGAATTTGATGATCATTTTGAATATAAACATCATAGATTTTGCATTAGACATACAAATTTTAGATATAATGTTTACTCTGAGTAAATATGTTATCTTTTGTGCAAAATATATGACATTTATATTCAAAATATTCCTGGTCCTACAAGGAATCCAGCAATGTCAATTATATTATCCTAACTTTAGTCTGATTTATTATTTATTACTAAAAAGGTAAACAGTCTGGTATTCCCACACATTCATCTGGTAGGGAGGGTTGGTGGGAGGGACCGGCGACCGACCACCTGGCACCACGGTGTGAAGAATATATTTTTTTTTTATTAACTGAAGATATTTGTTTTAGCTCATAAAATTCATACAAATTACCTGGCCAGAATATAATTTACATTGCTGGAATTCTTACAATTTGATGATCATTTTGAATATAAACATCATATATTTTGCATTAGACATACAAATTTTAGATATAATGTTTACTCTGAGTAAATATGTTATCTTTTGTGCAAAATATATGACATTTATATTCAAAATATTCCTGGTTTTACAAGGAATCCAGCAATGTCAATTATATTATCCTAACTTTAATCTGAGGTATTATTTAATACTAAATGTTAAAATCTAGTTTTTTCACCCAACCTTTCTCTTGAAGGGAAGATTGGTGGGGGGTGGGGGGGAGGGTTGGGACGGACCGACCATCTGGCCCGGTTGGAAGAGGGGGGGAGGCAAGGTGGGGTACTTTGATTGACAGATAGTGTCGTGAAGAATATTTTTTTTTTTATTAACTGAAGATATTTGTTTTAGCTCATAAAATTCATACAAATTACCCGGCCAGAATATAATTTACATTGCTGGAATTCTTACAATTTGATGATCATTTTGAATATAAACATCATAGATTTTGCATTAGACATACAAATTTTAGATATAATGTTTTCTCTGAGTAAATATGTTATCTTTTGTGCAAAATATATGACATTTATATTCAAAATATTCCTGGTCCTACAAGGAATCCAGCAATGTCAATTATATTATCCTAACTTTAGTCTGATTTATTATTTATTACTAAAAAGGTAAACAGTCTGGTATTCCCACACATTCATCTGGTAGGGAGGGTTGGTGGGAGGGACCGGCGACCGACCACCTGGCACCACGGTGTGAAGAATATATTTTTTTTTTATTAACTGAAGATATTTGTTTTAGCTCATAAAATTCATGCAAATTACCTGGCCAGAATATAATTTACATTGCTGGAATTCTTACAATTTGATGATCATTTTGAATATAAACATCATATATTTTGCATTAGACATACAAATTTTAGATATAATGTTTACTCTGAGTAAATATGTTATCTTTTGTGCAAAATATATGACATTTATATTCAAAATATTCCTGGTTTTACAAGGAATCCAGCAATGTCAATTATATTATCCTAACTTTAATCTGAGGTATTATTTAATACTAAATGTTAAAATCTAGTTTTTTCACCCAACCTTTCTCTTGAAGGGAAGATTGGTGGGGGGTGGGGGGGAGGGTTGGGACGGACCGACCATCTGGCCCGGTTGGAAGAGGGGGGGGGAGGCAAGGTGGGGTACTTTGATTGACAGATAGTGTCGTGAAGAATATTTTTTTTTTTATTAACTGAAGATATTTGTTTTAGCTCATAAAATTCATACAAATTACCCGGCCAGAATATAATTTACATTGCTGGAATTCTTACAATTTGATGATCATTTTGAATATAAACATCATAGATTTTGCATTAGACATACAAATTTTAGATATAATGTTTTCTCTGAGTAAATATGTTATCTTTTGTGCAAAATATATGACATTTGTATTC